GGAGATGACTGAGCTGAAGAGGAAAGACGGCCAGCTGGAGCAGCTCTCACACACAGAGGATCACAACCAGTTTCTCCACAACTACCCCTCAGTGTCAGCACTCAGTGAGTCTCCACACTCATCCAGCATCAAGACTCGTCCTCTCAGCTACTTTGAGGACGTGACGGCAGCTGTGGACCAGCTCAGAGACAAGATACAGGACGTCCTGAGGGACACCTGGACAAACGTCTCACTGAGAGTTTCTGAAGTCGATGGTTTACTGTCACAACCAGAGCCAGAACCAAAGAGCAGATCTGAGTTCCTAAAATATTCGAAAGAAATCACTCTAGATCCAAACACAGCAAACAGACATCTGCTGCTGTCTGATGGAAACAGAACGTTAACAGTAACGGAACAAAAACAGTTTTATCCTGATCATCCAGACAGATTCACTGATTATATTCAGGTTCTGAGCAGAGAGAGTCTGAGTGGACGTTGTTACTGGGAGGTGGAGTGGAGCGGGAAAGTGATCTGTTTAGCCGTTTCCTACAAGAATATCAGCAGATCAGGAGGTTCACATGACGGTAGATTTGGATCCAATGGCAAATCCTGGGCCTTACGTTGTCACACAAACAGTTGTTCATTTTATCACAATAGAAACCGTACTTCAGTCTCAGGTTCTGGTTCCTCCAGGATCGGAGTGTACCTGGACCACACAGCAGGGGTTCTGTCCTTCTACAGGGTCTCTGACACCATGACCCTCCTCCACAGAGTCCAGACCACCTTCACTCAGCCGCTCCACGCTGGAGTTTGGATTTGGTTTCATAAAGGAAACTCTGTCGAGTTCATCCAACTGAAATAATCCAAATCTACTGAAGTCCTGTTGGTCAGACTGTTTTCTGTTTAACAGTTTTTGGTCTCCTGTTGTAGAATCTGAGAGTTTATACAAAACAAACATTAATAAAAGATCTAAAACCACAGGATTGTGCAAAATAATGTTGAATTATTTTTTTCCATCATCACCATCTTTGAATATGTATGTATTGTCACCAATTATTAACTTATCAATTGTCATATATGTTGCTTTTTTATCACTTCAGTAGAAAAAAGAACTTGATAGTTTCTTAATTTCTTCATCAGTGATTTTTTTTAAGTAAAGAGAAAATAGATAAGATAAAACCTTATTGATCCCACAGTGGGGATATTTGTACATTACCGCAACTTAATACAGGAGAGGCTGAGAAGAATAATGAACGATAAATAAAAGATAACAAAAACAACCCCACAATATACACATGCGATATATAGTAATGTATAATGTAATAGTAGTAATGTAAAATAGAAAAAAGAGGGAAAAACAAAGAGAAAATGTAATTAGAAAGATCGAATAGAGATCAGAAACACTTAACATACGCCAAGAAAACACAAGGCCACACACCCAACATCTGTCTGCTCAACTAAAAATAAATAGACATGCATACATACAGAGGGTAAAATAAGTATTGAACACGTCACCATTTTTCTCAGTAAATATATTACTAGAGGTGCTAATGACATGAAATTTTCACCAGATGTTGGTAACAACCCAAGTGATCCATACATACAAAGAAATCAAACCATACCCCAGCCTGACAAATTCCCAAACATACACAATCACACCATCCCACCCTCATCCTCACACCCACTCATTCAAAGACATACAAGAAGGACGCCACATTCCACTCATACTCCTGATACACACTCTAACAGGAGGCAGCACACACCCGAACCCAGGGGGTAGACCTCATAGACCAGGGGGTAGACCCCCATCCTGAGGTGGAGAGGCCGAGACCTGGCCTGAGCCGCACCAGGCCGCCCAGCCAGCCCCCCGCCGCAGAGAAGCCACGCCCACGACCACCACACCGCCAACGGCCAAGCGCACCCCCCCAGCCAACCACCCACCGGAACCCAGCAGCCACCCCGGCCAGCGGGTCACCCACAGGAACCAGGAGTCCAAGCAGCACCAGGAAGGATGGAGAGCCAGCCCCTTTCCCAGCAACCCTCCAAGCCCCGAGCCCACCCGCAGCCCATGACCACACCTGGCGGCCTGCCCTTCTTCAGGACCCCCTCCCCAAATGGCAGTCGGGGAACAGGAGGGGAGTAAAGACCCTGATGCACACACCCCCACCCCCAGATGTACTGTTGGTGCGTGTTGTTCTATAGAGCAATTTAAAAAAGAAAGAAGAAGAGGCAGAGGCCAGCGTGGTGCCAGTTTCCCCTCCACCACTACTCTAACCCAAAACCCCAAGTGTCTATATGCAAACCTTGTCGGGTGGGCACAGGCACAGGAGGCGAGAGTGGTGCCAACTGGCCACCTATAGCCATGAGTGCCCACCTTAAGTTCCTATATGTGAATGTCATGAAAATGTTATGAGTGAATGTCTAAGATGTACAATAAAATTTGGGTCCCAGGTGGTTATGGCAAATAGAAATGTAATATTGTTGCTCTAATAACACAACTGTGCCCCAAAAAAACCCTACATGGGTGAAGTTGAAAGTGAAGAGGATGGAGGTGTGCGGCGAGGGATGGGGAGAATAAGCTTAAGGAGCAAAATGCTCCCACAGGGAGTCAGATCCCCCGCTAGCCCCCAGTAAGCCCTCCCGTTCCCCGAAACCCACCCAGGAAGAGCAGCCCAAATACCTCTCCCTTAAGACAAACCGCCAAGTCCGCGGAACCACAGACCAGGGACGGACGGAGCCCCGAAGGCCACCAGAAACTGGGACCAAATGTCCACCCTCCCCCAGAGCCGCCAAGACCCCCCAAAAACTGACCCCCAGCCCCACAGCTGGCCCACCGCCCAGAGAGGCCACCGTTCCCCAGCAAGGATGACTTGACCGAGAGCGCCCACTCAACCGCCGACAGAGCAAGGGGGCACCCAGGGCAGGATCCCGCTACAGCAAAGGGGCCAACCAGCCGGCCCAGCACGGCCCCCAGCCACCACCAAAGGCCACCAACCCAATCCCCACCCCAGAAGACATTCTACACCCACCCCAACATTCAGGCCACTATCAGAACATTTAACACAAGGACACCCAGGCTGGGTCGACCCCCCCTCCCACTAGCCCAGTGTCACGCCCCCAGCCAACCCAACCCAACCCCTCAGCCCATGTGAGACCCGCAGACCACCAGCGCACCGGTAGTCCCCAGTCCAGAGGCGGGCACCAGGGCACCCACCCGCCAGAGCCTAAGCCCCCCCCGCCCCACCAGAGCCACAGCCCAGGGG